AGCCGGTTCCTTTGCTTTCATTAAGTCTTCCCCATGCTTCTGGCCTCGGGGAACTAGGACCGAGGAAGGTTGCGAGGGCATTGGCGTGAGGAGGTAAATAAAGTGTGGAAGGGATGGATAACTTGGTGGGGTGCCTGGGAGCCCTGAAAGCCTTGCCGGAGACGCTCAGAATATTAGTTCAGCTTCTTACTTTTCTACTTTACTTTTCTTCGACAAACATCCACCCGAAAAGGAGTGTAGCCTAGCGCAACTGTTTTCTCGTGAAGAACGCTAGCCTGCATTAAGGAAAAAATAACACAATAAAGGGAGGTTTGAAACAGTCTGATCAGGATCGAAATGTAGCCTCTTCATCTCCTAAAATGTAGGCATTCAAAAGTGAGGGCTTCTCTGGATCTCCTTTTGCACTGCTCTCTGTTGACAAGCTCATTAATTCGTTTTCACTTCAGACCGGCGTAGATACTACAGAGATTCCAAATACCACTCAAATACCACTCCTTAGCTCCAGGTCAGCATTCCCAGCTACCCATTGCTGGATATTAATTTGCGTGTAAGTAAACCCCGTGGCACATGGAATTTATACGGCCAAACGTAACTCACCCCCTCAACTCATTATATAAGTTCCTTCAGTGCCCCTGCTGAGTGGCACAGCTTTGAAAACTGCATGTCACAAAGTAAATGTACAGCGACATTACAATTCTTTCCCATCAACCTCTAAAGAACTTTCCTCTGAATCAGTTGACTCACCAGTACCTGTTCAGTGATGCTCCTTGTTGTGCCTTTTACATTTGAAGCGTCCCCACTTGTGATCTTAATCTACTCTGACTTTATATCACCTTCTAAGATCATTTACCATGTGTGTTATGTTACTGTTGTTTGCTTCCTCTCTTCCCACTCTGGAATGTGAGCTGCAAGAAGACAGGTGTCTCTGTGCATAGAACATTGAATGTTAACTAGTGGACAGTGAATGCATATTTGTTGAATAAAGAAAAATAAATGTTGGGAAAGAACTGAAAGTGATTTTATCACTGAAAAGATCCTTGCAAAGATTCCTTCTAGTATTTTGAATTGGGGTTTGAAAAAAATCCCTGTGGTCTTTGATATACTTGGATTTCTTCAAATCTGGAAATTAAGACATGCAAGAGTCAACATATTTCCTTAAGCTAATCTATATCATTTTTGTTCTGGATACAATTACTCAAACATTAAGTCACGGTCATTACTGTTCTCTGGTCCCTCTTCATGCAGTGCTTGCTTGATCAGCATCAATTGCAATACTATGTATTCCTTACAAAAGCAGAGCTATCAATAAACATCACAATCAGAACAAACAAACAGCCAGTCACTGTTCAGTTGGCAGGAGAATGCTGTTTTATCAGTGCTTGGGTTGTTGCAAGATACAAAATACAGTTTTACAACAGACCAAACTTTCGTTTTTGCTTCGATAATGGTCATAAAGACTTTTCCCCGGTGACCTAATAACAATTTATCTGAAGCAGAAAATGATTAAAAGGTTTTGAGAGGGCGAGAGGTGGGAGGGGAGGGGAGGAGACAGAGACTGACTCTCACTGTGTAGTCTATGCTGGCCTCGAAATCATAATTGAAATTTTTGTGCCTTATCTGCCTACCCAGTGCTGGGGTCGATGGCATGTAACATCATGAGCAGCTAAGAGTTTTCCTGAAGTGTTTTGAGTTCTGGGTCACTTCTTTTTTTTTTTTTAAAAAGGAAAGTTATGGAGAAATTCACCCACTAAGAAGTATGGTATTTGTATAAGCCACCAATGTATTTTCCTAGTCTTAAGGAAGTGACTCAGTTCTAGGAAAATAGTCTTGTTTGAAATGGCTCAGAGGTTAAGAGCACTGGCTGTTCTTCCAGAGGTCCTAAGTTCATTTCCCAGCAACCAACCACATGGTGGCTCACAACCACTAATAATGAGATATGGTGACCTCTTCTGGTGTACAGAAATCCATGCAGAGAATGCTGTGTACATAATAACTAAATACATCTTTTTTTTTTAAAAAAAAAAGATACACTTGCATCTCTCCCCATCTCACAATTACTCTCTTTCATGCATTCACCACTTTTTAAATCTTTTATCAGTGTGTCAAACACCAGAATACTAGCCTAGTTTTATGTTTTCTAGTCACAAATTGTTAAATTGAATTCATGGGGTTTGCTTTGAATCAGGGTCTTGTTATGGTGCCCAAGCTGGCTTCAAACACTTGGGCACAAGTGGTTCTTCTGCCTTACCCTCCCCAGAAACTATAGGACTGCAGAAATATACCACTATGCCTGTGGAATGGCATTTCAATTATCTGTAGATTCCAACCTGAGGGAAATCAAGGTGTTAATAGTTGTAGAGAAACTAGAGTCCACTCAAACATGGTTCTGCAGGTTGGAATTAATTCCAGAGTACAAACTGCAACTAGTGACAGCACTGTTTTCCTGAGTTCTTAGAACAAAAATCAAACTGCATAAAACACAGTATTTAAATTCCCAAGTAACCACAGAAGTGCCTTAATTATCTCCCCCCCCAAAAAAAACCCATTCCCTATATATGTCATGGAATAATGACACAGATATTATTGGAGATGGGGATAATAATGCTAAAGCATGTATAGAGAAATGGTTCCAGGGTTAATGTGTTGACTAGACAAAAGTGTCCCAGCATTGGAACTTTGTTTTATGCCATCCAAATTCATAAATATCTTCATATATATGTTACTTGTGTACATTTCAATCTCTCATATATATATATTTCTCCCTTTATCTGCCATACTCTGACCTAATTTGAAAATTCACCTTTCTTGCAAATATGTTCCTATTACAGATATCTATAAGAAAAATATGCAGATTGAATGTGCTAAAAGGGCTGATGAGATGGGTTAGCAGATAAGAGTGCTTGCTGCCAAACCTAATGACTTCAGTTCAATCCCCAGAACACACATGGTGGTAGGGGAGAGAATGAATTCCTTCAAGTTGAGTATGGGCAAACACACGCGTGCGCGCGCGCGCGCACACACACACACACACACACACACACACACACACACACACACACACACACACACACAGAGAGAGAGAGAGAGAGAGAGAGAGAGAGAATTAAATAATTTTTAAAACTTTCTTTAAGCTATTTATATTTAGAACAATATCTCTGGATAACAAATTATAGAATTCTATTGTCTTCTAGGCAAACTATTGCCTGCCCTGTCTGTCTGTCCACTCGCCCTTCTCCTTCCCTTCCTCCCTCTATCCTCCCCACTTCATGGACTTATCTGCAAACAAGGAATTGCATTGCATAGATCTTCCTTGGGTAAGGAATCAGATCAATAGAACAGCAGAAACTGAATCTTTCAGACAGGCAGATCTTCCCATAGATCCATACAGGTTTTACCTAACACATCCATCATGCAAAAAGTTTTTGTCCAGGTTCCCTAAAGACATGTAAGTAATCTGCCAGAGAAGAATTTACACATTTTTTAAACAACAAAAAAGCAGGACAAAGCAGAATTCCCTTCTTTACCCTTCAGCCAGGCAGATTAGTTATAGCCCTTATCAGAACTCATGCCTCTCCCCAGGCGGCTCCTTGTACCCTGGACTGGGGTAGGGTTTGGATCCTGGATTTTCCTTCTGCATGTCTGGGAGATTTTAGGAGTTACTCATCTCTGTGCTTCAGTTCCCTCACCTGTAACTTGAGGATAGCCATAGTGCTCTTTCATAGGGCTGTTGTCAGGATTGAGGGTGGTGATGCCTGTGAGGTGTGTCAGTAATCTCACACACTGTACGTACTCAGTTAATGTTGACTATTGTTCCTATTATTTAAAAAACATTTATCATTAAAATTATGTGTGTGGGGGTGGGGTATGTGCACATAAGTACAGGTACCTACAGAGGCCAGAAGACCAGTGTCACCCCTTAGAGCTGGAGTTACAGGTGGTTGTGAGCTAGCTGCCTGACATGGGTGCTGGGAACTGAACTCAGGTTCTCTGGAAGAGCAGTGCATGCTCTTAACTACAAAGCTGTATCTCCAGGCCATAATTTTTTTAAATTTATTGTTACTTTGCTATTACTGTAGATGTATGATATTGGTGCTTGTGTGCCATGTGTGCCATGGCACAGAGGTGGGGAGATCAGAGTTTGTGGGGTTGGTTCTCTCCATTTTTATGTGAGTTCTGGAGCTCGAACTCAGATCCTCATGATTATACAGCAAGTGCTTTCTTTACCTGCTGAACCCATCTCTTCATATTTTTTTAGTGTGTGTGTGTGTGTGTGTGTGTGTGTGTGTGTGTGTGTGTGTGTGTGTACACATATATGTGTGTGTGCTTATGCAGGTCAAAGGTGTTGGTCCTCTCCAGCCTGTTTGATACAGGATCTTCTTGTTTGCTGCTGTAGATCCCATACTGTTAGCCCACGAGCTTCCGGGGATTCTCCAATCTCTCTCTGCCTCCCATCTTGCTATAGGAATACTGAAATTTCAGATGTATGTTATCAAATCTTGCTTCATGTGTGTCCTGGGGATCAGAGCTCAGATCTTCATGCTTGTGCAGCAAGTGTTTTCCCCACTGACTGAGCCATCTCCCTGGCCCCTGTTATTATTATTTATTATTGATCCTTCTATTGTTCCAAACTAAAGAGGTTCCTTATCCAATTAATCTTTCCTAATCAGTTGCTTCTCCACTTTGATTACTTTTTTATTTGAGACAGGGTCTCACAGTGTGGTTCTGGCTGTCCTAGACCTCTCTACCTCTGC